CAGGCCCCGATTTGAGGAATTAGTTGTTAGAAGCAAGCCTTGAAACAAGAAAGGAGAGAGCTGTGAGGTCCTTGGGTTTATTCAAGCAAGTGTCTAACATGCCATTTCAAATGCATCAATGCATACATAATAATGACATACACAAGTAATCATTGATATCCTATTACAGTTTCAATCTAAGTCAGGTAATATAAGCAATGTATGGTATAACAGAGTATGTACAGGTAACTGCTTACAGAAAGTTATTTTGAACTAGCACGTATTTCGAAGAGTGTTTCAGTAACGTAGGAATGTGTCAAACTTAACTCTGACATTTTCTAAACAATATTTACAAAGAAATGACAAGTCAGACATGAACAAGAATAAAGTTTAAATGTTTCATACCTTGAAACAAGAAAGGAGAGAGCTATGGAGTTCCTTGGGTTTATTCAAGCAAGTGTGCCTGAGTTGGAAAACCCCAAGATTTAATACCTCACAGCTCTACTCGTTTAACATTACCAATTTCTCTAAAGACAAAGTTTCCAGATGCCCTACTACAGTACTGTCGGAAATAGAATAAAAATGTACTTTCTCATTTGTCTATACAATTTATGTAGTTGATATGTGAAAGTGTGAAATATCTGTTAAACTAAGTTCAACCTAACTACAGTCTCAGTGGTAGAGAGATAGGAAACGGAGAAAAAGGACTTTACTGGGGGGAAATTAGTGCAGAATTGAGCAATGCGGGCTTTTTTTAAGTCCAGAAAGACTTATTTGGAACAGACCATGGCTTTATGCAAATTAGTGTGCAACGATATTGTATTACAAAGGACACTTTTTAAATACCCAATTTGAAATTAGACATAACCCCAATCCTCCAGAGTCTGCATTGGCTGCCGGTTGAAGCAAGAATTCATTTCAAGATCTGCACTCTTGTTTTCCGCTGCAAACACGGCCTAGCTCCTCCATACCTCTCTGAGATGTTGTCAACATATATGCCTGCCCGTTCTCTCCGCTCTCAGAATCAACATCTTCTCTCAGTTCCCCAAGTTCGTCTCAAACACTTTGGCCATAGGTCATTCAAATTTGCAGCACCAACCCTATGGAACAGTCTTCCTACTCCCATAAAAAATGCTTCATCCCTAGAAGCATTCAAATCGGGACTCAAAACCTTCCTCTTCAAGAAAGTCTACAACCTATAACTGTAAAATACTCTCACGGTTATTTTTGGCTAATTGTCATATCTTCTTCTTGAACTCTAGTGACTCTTTTTATATGTAGCGCTTTGAGCATGCTCTGGATGGACTATGGCGCATAAGAAATATCCATTTATTATTATTATTAGACGTAGATTCATTATAAACGATAGCTGACGTAAAAAATAATAACTTTTATGCCGAAGCTATTGAGGATGTAGCTACCATGCAGTCACACTGTCACTATAAAAAGAAACAGATAGGAGGGGTCGCCTAATAAGCAAAACCTGGGGTCGGGCTTGGGGATAGAGATCTCAGCTAAGATAAGATAATCCTTTTATACTGGGGAGGTACACGGCACGTCATAACAATTTACAAATAATATCCAGTCCTGTCGATCTTCGGGTGGTCATTCCACCTATATACTACGATGCGTTTCTATAGTTTACGGGTATCATACTCTCTTACATATCTCAACATAAACTTTATGAAAGAAAGACACATAAGATGTTAATCAGTAGATGAGACATAGTCAACACACATGACAAAGCACAAAATATCTTTGAGATGACCCCTTGTGCCTGTAGGCAGCACGTGCATTTCATGTCAGGTGAGTTGACAGTCCGTCGTCATACCTGGCTGAGCGACCTAATTGCCATCTATAGTCTGATCTATTGTTTTGAGCAGCTATTCGTAATTTTTCTAAGTTTTGCTCGATTTTACGAGTAAACATGCTTTTCTGGATAACGTATTACGCATCCCACTGAACGCCCAGTTAGGCCGAAGTGGGTTATTTGGACATATGCTTTTTGCAATTGTGTAAATTTTAGGGATACAGAGTAACAGCCTAAAAACAGGTTTTTTTCTATTTCCGACAGTACTATAGTATGTACCTTTTGCCGACAATGTTTACAACATGAGGTAGGTGGTAAGGAGGCAATCACCTAACAAGACTTCATTGTCTTTATGGTGTAGCCACTGTCAACTTGCGCCAGCTGCTAACAAAATATCTGTCAGTGCTTGGCCATGGCATTTATGACAAAGAGGGTGGTATGATGGTAATCTCAATCTTGTTCAACAAAATTTGATTTTCGATTATTACGACTTAGCTGGTGGTAAAACATGCACCTGTTGGGATGGGAATACTTGTCTGCACTTGACCAAGGGATGTACCCGAGAAGAAAGGCTGGTGCCGACACAGCTCACTAACTTTATCTTCCATTAATTAGTTAATAGTTGGCATGGACGCGTTTCCTAATTAATTACTGCTGCGTTGGACATGCGGGGCGATGAACAAGAAATATTATGAACAGCCCCTTGCACATACACTGACTTCCCTTGTTAAGAATAATTTGTGAAAAATATAAACGTGTATGAAGAAATATATGCAGTGTAAAATATACATGCTGGTAAAAATCAATGCTCAGTTGATTCTACTGGAAATCCTCTGACGCGTTAACTGGCTAGGAGCATCTGACAGTGCAAATGTTTTCCCTGATTCAACACATGGATCAGACGGAGTTCCACTTTGACTACTCGTGTGTTTCTGTAGAGTGTCTGAAGGTGTACATCCTTTCCCTAGCCCAACACAGTTATCTTCACTCCTTGATTCCACTGTGAATTCGCATGTGTTTCTGAAGGTTACCTGATTGTGTAAATGTTTTCCCACATTCATAAGGCTTGATTCCACTGTGAATCCTCGAGTTTCTGAAGGTGACCTGATTGTGTAAAAAAAAATTCCACATTCAACACATTCATAAGGTTTGATTGCACTGTGAATCATCATGTGCGTCTGCAGGTGACCCGATCGTGTAAATGTTTTCCCACATTCAACACATTCATGTGGCTTGATTCCACTGTGAATCCTCATGTTTGTCTGCAGATTACTTGATTGTCTAAATTGCTTCCCACATTCAACACATTCATAAGGCTTGATTCCACTGTGAATCCTCATGTGTGCATGCACATTACCTGAGTGTATAATTTTTTTCCCACATTCAACACATTCATAAGGCTGGATTCCACTGTGAATCTTCACGTGTATCTGCAGAGTGCGCGACTGTGTAAATTTTTTCCCACATTCAACACATGCATAATGTTTTGCTCCACTGTGAATCTGCCTATGTACCTTAAGAAAACATGATTGTGAAATTTTTTCCCACATTCAACACATTCATAAGGCTGGATTCCACTGTGAAGACTCATGTGTCTCTGCAGATGAGCCAAACGTGTAAATGATTTCTCACACACAATGCACTGATGAGGTTTGATTCCACTGTGAATCTTCATGTGTCTGCAGATTACCTGATTGTGTAAATTTATTCCCACATTCAACACATTGATAAGGCTTGATTCCACCGTGAATCCTCATGTGTGTCTTAAGTTCAAATGAGTGTAAATGTTTTCTCACACACAATGCACTGATGAGGTTTGATTCCACTGTGAATCCTCATGTGGATCTGAAGAGTACCTGATACTGTAAATGTTTTCCCACATTCAACACATTATGATAAGGCTTCCTTCCACTGTGAATCATCATGTGTGCCGACAGTTTACCTGAGTGGGTAAATTGTTTCCCACATTCAAAAGGCTTGATTCCACTGTGAACTCTCATGTGTGCATTGATGAGGTTGGATTCCACTATGGATCTTCATATGTGTCTGCATGTTAACTGATTGTGTAAATATTTTCCCACATTCATAGCGCTTCATTCCACTCAATCTTCAGGTATTTTTGAAGATAACCTAATAGTGTACGTTTTCACCCTCATTCAACACATTCATAAGGCTTGATTCCACTGTGCATCCTCGTGTGTGTCTGCACATTACTTGAATGTTCATTATTTCTTATGTGAATCTGCACATATTCCTGAAGAGTATCTCATCTTGTAATTTTTTCCCCACATTCAACACATTCATAGGTTTTGATTTCCCTATGAATCTTCATGTGTGTCTGAAGATTATCTGATAGTGGGAATGTTTTCCAACATTCAGCACTCCGAGTCTTGATTCCACTGTGACAGAGCATGGACCTTTGTTTTTTGATGATTCTCCAAACCATTTGGAAACTATTTCCAGCGTTCCATCAACAGGTTCTTTCATTAGATCACCGGTTTCTGGGTTCTTTAGATCTAGCGACAGAAGATATCCTGAGGATACAAGGATTAAACATGTGATTTTCAACGACATGTATGGTTTTCTTTGTAATGAAATGTCTGTTCATGTCACCATGATCGTGTAAAATAATATGTGTACAATTTATATACTGAACCGCAAAAGAAACGAAAGTTGATTTAGAATTAATAGAAATGTCAATATATCTGAATCTGTGGAACAAAAAATCTTAACACTATGAAAAAACAACAGACAAGTGATTGTTGAAGAAATGAGTCGTGATCTCTGGTGAAAACAATACTCAAGTTTACTGTAAAAGCATATGTTACCACTCCACCCCCACACACCAAAAATGTCACGAAAAAGTGTGTCAATCAGTAGCGCGTGTGACCTCCATTGGCTGCAAGCAGGCAGCACAACGACATCTCATCGAGTCAACAAGTGTCTGAAAGAAGGCTTGGGGAATTTGATTCCATTCCCTGACCAATCTGGCTTCCAAATCTTTAAGCTTTTGAGGTTGAGCAGCTGTCAGTATCCGTCTACCAATTTCATCCCACACATGCTCGATTGGTGCCATATCCCTGAGAAAGTCCATAGAGACCCGTGCAGTGTGAGGACGAGCATTGTCCTGCTGGAACGTCTGGAGCTGAGGTTGGAGGACCTGGTCTCTGTAGACTACAGCAGTCACACGTTGACGAAACATGTGTAAACATGTTCTGTGGTGGTAGCTGAAGCAACCCCATACCATGAGACTTCCACCTCCCCAGCGGCCAGCTTCCACAACACAACAGTTGGCGTAACGTTCATTACGGCGTCTCCATATACGTAATCGGCCATTGGCGTGGGACAAATTGAATCTGGACTCATCAGAAAACAACACTTGTTGTAATTGTTGACATCACCAACGCTGTTGTTGTCGCACCCACTGTTAACGATTTTGGCAGTGACGTTGATTGACCACTGCTGCGCTTGACATGCAGGGCTATAAACAAGAAACACTACGCACAGCGATTTACACATACACAAATTTCCTTTGAAAAGAATAATTTGTGAAAAATATAAAAGTGTATAAAGAAATATATGCACTGTAATATATACATAACGTTTAAACTCCATAATCAGTTGATTCTACTGTGATTCCTCTGAACTGTATACTGGCTAAGAGTATATGACAATGCAAATGTTTTCCACATTCAACACATTGATAAGACAGGATTCCACCTTGAATTCTTATGTATTTCTACAGGGTGCTTGCAGGGGTACATCCTTTCCCAAACCCAACACAGAATTAAGTTTTCACTGCTTGATTCCACAGTGAATCCTCATGAATGCCTGCAGATTACCAGATTGTGTAGATTTTTCCCCACATTCAACACATTCAGCAGGCTTGATTCCACTGTAAAATCCTCAAGTGTCTTTGAAGTTTACCTCATGGTCTAAATGTTTTCTCACATGCAGTGCACGGATGAAGTTTGATTTCACTGTGAACCTTCATGTATTTCTGAAGAGTACTTGATTGTGTAAATTGTTTCCCACATCCAAGACATTCTTAGGGCTTGATTCCACTGTGAATCTTCATGTGTTCCTGCATATGACCTGATTGTGTGAACTTTTTCCCACATTCAACACATTTATAAGGTTTGATTCCTGTGTGAATCTTCATGTGTTTCTGCAGACTACCAGAGTGTGTAAATGTTTTCCCACATTCAACACATTTATAAGGCTTCATTCCTGTGTGAACCCTCATGTGTCTCTGAACTTCACATGGTAGTATAAATGTTTTCTCACATACAATGCACTGATGAGGTTTGATTCCACTGTGAATACTCATGTGTCTCTTCAGTTTACTTGGGTGTGTAAATTTTTTCCCACATTCAACACATTCATAAGGCTTCATTCCACTGTGAATCATCATGTGTGCCTGAAGATTACCTGATTGCGTAAACTGTTTCCCACATTCACCACACTCATAAGGCTTCATTGCACTGTGAATCCTCATGTGTACCTTCAGATTACCTGATTCTGTAAATTGCTTCCCACATTCAACACATTCATAAGGCTTCCTTCCACTGTGAATCATCATGTGTGCCTGCAGTTTACCTGAGTGGGTAAATTGTTTCCCACATTCAACACATTCACAAGGCTTGATTGCACTGTGAATCCTCATGTGTGTCTGCAGATTACTTGATTGTCTAAATTGCTTCCCACATTCAACACATTCATAAGGCTTGATTCCACTGTGAATCCTCATGTGTGCATGCAGATTACCTGAGTGTGTAAATTGTTTCCCACATTCAACACATTGATAAGGTTTGATTCCACTGTGAATCCTCATGTGTCCCTGCAGAGTATCAGAGCGTGTAAATTTTTTCCCACATTCAACACATTCGTAAGGTTTGATTTCACTGTGGATCCTCATGTTTGCCTGCAGATTACCTGATTGTGAAAATTGTTTTCCATATTCAACATATTCATTAGTCTTGATTCCACTGTGAATCCTCATCTCTCTCTCCATACTTGTTGATTGAGTAATTTTTCCCAACATTGAACACATCCCCACATTTAACACATTCCCAAGGCTTGATTCCAATGTGAATCCATATATGTGTCTGCAGACTACTTGGTTGAGTAAATTCCCACATTCAACATTTAAAAGTCTTGATTCCACTGTCACTACTTGGTTGAGTAAATTCCCACATTCAACATTTATAAGGCTTGATGCCACTGTGAATCTTCATGTGTGACTGAAGATTAGCTGATGATGTGAATGTTTTCTGACATTCAGCACAGTGATACTCTTGATTCCATGAAGACAGAGCATGTCTCTTTCCAAGTCACCAGATTTATAGTGAGTGAGAATGGTTTTATGCCAATTTTAGTGACATTCCAACAATATCACAGTGTGCGACACCAGAAATAGGCTTCACACATTGTGCCTATGTGGGAAATCTTCAGCGTAATGAGCGAAAGCGTTAACCACTAGGCTATCCCACCAACACCCACACGTGATTTAAAACATGTTTCCAAACTATCACAACATGTATATAAGACTGCTTTGTTGGATCACTCCAAACCATCTGTCCATTAATGGGTTCCTTCATTATTCCATGGGTTCTTTCATGAGATCCTATATCCAGGGTTGAGATCACCTATTTCCAGGGCTCCAGTAACGAGTTCTTTCATAAGATCACCTGTTTCCAAGGTTCCAAGTACAAGTTCTCCCTTGAGATCACCTATTTCCAAGCTGTCAATAAAAGATGTTTCTTGAGATATCCTGTTTTCAGCAAACCCCTTCAACAGATTCCATGTGTTTCAGTGACAGGGAAAGGCTTCTGTGGATTTCAATTTCCATCATTAACATGTGGATGTCATGGTGTTTCCTGAAAACATAAGAAACGTTGTCATACTCTAATAACAAGTAGAGTAGGGACCATACACAACATGGTGGTATGACACGTAGCATGATAACAAACCTGATACTGTAAACACATAGCACACACAACACACTATATACAACTTAGCGAAATGATTTTCAATATTCAGTATGGAAAATGACAATAACGGGATGTACAATTATCCTCCCTATAGTCCCACAATGAATTGTATTCAGCTGTTCAATATCCAAACTTTTACTGACGTTACATATTTACGGTCTGTGACTGGTTCATTATTCTGTCAAAACAAAAACAAATGGATGTCTTGCAAAGCTGTGTACAGGTATTATACACCATTCTGTAAAATTGATTAAAAGCAATGAATATATATGATTATTATTCCATTTAACCCTAAATTGTCATCAGCATACCTTTAAGTTTTAAAACACTGCCTTGAAATAATAGAAATATGTCTTCATGTAAACATAATTACATCTATCTTTGATCAATTTAATAACATGTTATTGCATAATAATGTTATTATATGGTAGATATCATAAGGAGTGACACATCCTGTCATTAAACACTTGGATCACCTTTAGATCCAGAAACAGAACCTTTCGTTAGGAGAAAAGTTGTACACATATTTTTCAGATTATGATCGGGACAAATAATATATACACAATTGAGAATATTGATTTTTATGGGAAAGCATGTGCAATGTGAATGATGACCCTAAAATTTATGTGCCAAGTAAGCGACCTCAGAGCACCTTTAGAATACAGCACCCACAACTTCTTGTGAGGACGATCACTCCCATAGGTCACGTGTCATTAAACCAAGCAACTAGTTTGTGAGAACCCGTCAGATGCGGACCTGCGACCTTCGGATTGTTAGCTCGACAGCTAACCGACTGAGCTACGTCCACACTGTTGCACAATCTGCAAATTTATCGAGTCATTCCTGTGACGTCACGGAAATGAACGGAAAGAGTCGAATAAGTCACGGACAATTACGAAGGTTATGGGTAGACTTGGTGTCTCGTGATTTTAAATCTACAGACAATTGCCCAATGGACCCGATGCCATTTGGCACACTCATCGCATTCCGTAATCTACAAGATAATGTGTGACATGGAATGAGCCGATATGCCTCAAACTGAAAAGGGTTGTTGACGTCAGGCGTCAGACGTAGATTTCATGGTGCATGCATGAATGATGCCCTTTTAAATAAATCAGTGATTTTGTGACAGAAAAGTGATGTAGGGAACACTGTAAGGATAATGTGGATTGCACTAAGGAACGAGGGACACTTGAGCATGTGTAGTGACGGCACGAGGGTGAGTTAGCCTTTGAATCATTACTGAACAAAATTTATGTTGCGTGTGAAAGAGGCTTGAGTGCAAATTCCAGACCAATTTCCATTAGCCCAAAATTTTACATTAAACCATTTCATAGTGTACTTTCAAAGTTTTTGCTTTCCTGTTTTGGTGTAATTATTTTTATTAAAATGCAAAAAGGAAAAACAACAAATGGTACTCACATATTACACCGGACAAACTATATTGGATTAGGTCCCTAACCCTAACCCTAAACCCTCATCCCTTAAAATAATCCTAATAAATAGAATGCATTGACCGGACCGGCAGTATTAAAATGCAAAAGGAAAAACAACAAATGGTACTCAGGTATTACACCGGACATGTACCTACTATATTGGATTAGGTCCCTAACCCTAACGTACCTAACCCCTAGAATAATCCTAATAAACAGAATGCATTGACCGAACCGGCACATGCATGACTGATGTGTCCAGTGTAATGCATTATTACCGCTTCGAAAAATAAAATACTAATAAAAAACCTTTCTATGTAATGGTTCAAATTACTGAAAGAAAAACATATATATGTATGTCAGTTCACATTGGCAAATCATTTAGACTTATAGTTACTTAGAAACCGAAATATAAAAAACAAAATTGCGAATAATCAAATATATATAATAAAGACCAGTGTAACGCATTCTCGCTCAGAGCCCCAGATAAGATTTAGCTCATGTGGGTACTGTACTTTTTTGGAGTGGGTATTTCATTTTCCGTTACCCACTGCTTTCAAATATGTGCTTGTTTCAGTCATTTTACTCACCTAAGTATTACATCATTGAGTAAGTTCACTAAGCAGGTATGTTCTTGCCTTATGTCATACCTAATCAAAACCAACTTAAATATAATGGAATTGATTTCATAAAAAAATCACTCATCCTGTAGTGACAGTACAACACTAGTCCTATACTAAGAGTACAACGAGATAGCAATCAATGTCTTTTTCATTACCCAAGCGATTTTTATAAATATATTCCGTACGCATTTGTTTTAAACTTTTTGCGTATCTAACATTTTAAATGCGTAATTGGTACGCAACAATTATTTCTCAATGCGTAATTGGAAATTTTCTATGCGTATTTTACCCGGATACGTAGCTTATCTGGGCCTCTGCTTGCTAAATCTAAAAAATACAATAATACACAAAACATAACACCTCAGCACCCCATAATACAAATAAATATGAGCGTATAAGTGAAAAAAAGAATAATATTTAAAATGGTGCTTGGAGAAAATTGCGCATCCGCCGGTATACAACTACTGGAAACTCTCAACATCATTGGGCTTATGCAATGACATAGCTAGCAGAGATGAAACACCAGTGAGCGGAGCTGATACGCACTTGCTGAGCTAGACAACCGTGTTGCCATGCAGACGTAATAAGGCATTGTTTCAAGAACGTGCTTTCAAACAAAATCACATTACATTACGTAAAAGGGTATTATGACGTATATATTTAAAGTTTGTGGCGCTGTATTCTAAAGGTAGGCCGCCACCTCCGTGCATGCCATTCACAAACTTACTGAGCTCTCCCTAGTACCCTGCCGTCCTACGATTCCGTGGTACCCACGTTTCCGAGGTATTTTTTAATGACGTAATTTCTCTGCTAGCCACTCACCAAATCACACCACCATTTTCTATAAACGTCTTCAGCTTCAAAGTTTTCCAAACATCGCTTGTCTGCTAGCTGACGTAATAAATAAAAATAATCACGGGACCTAGTAGGGGAATCCCTGCTCTATTTTAAGAAGCATGGAAGCTCGATACTGTCATCTCTTAAGTTGTTTTTCCTGAGCGACGAAAAAGTCAGTATCGATCTTACAGCCCTACTCAACTTCAATCTGCCTACCTAGAAGTAATTGAAAAAGGGGTTTCTGTGCATAAGGCTGCTAAGGTACACTCTGTACCTGAACAAACTCTTAGGGACTGAGTGAAAGGCATCACTTCGCCAGAATGTTTGTCTTCAGGTCCAGGACCGCTATTACAGTGTTCACGAATGATGTTTCAAAATAACAGGACACTGGGTCCTGTAAGTTTCAGATGTCTGTCTGACCCATTGAAAATTCACAGGACCCATAGAATAGAATTAAACACACATTTCAGATTTAACATTTCTTATAATTGGCATTGAAATTATTAACGAACATAAGATTCATAAACAGCAAACAAGTGTTACATGTCACATATAACAACTTCCGTCAAAGTCATTGTAAAATATACAGTCAGACACTGGGGCCGGCGGGTTGTAGACTTCTATCGGACCGTTGGCAAATCTGCCAGATTTGTCAGAGGGTCAGACGCTATTCGTGAACACTGCTATTAAGTCAAGAAGAAGAGGCTCGTCTTGCGGTCATTTGAAACTTATGGCGTCTGTCGGATATGGCTACAAGTTATCTCCCTTGGGACGGAGTACGCTATCACTTTGCATAAAAGAACCAAGCAAGACAATAATCTGTCTTTACAGTGGTTTTATAGCTTCATGGGCAGATGGCCAGAACTGAAACTGAGACGTCCTCGTTCCCTCACACAGCTTCGAGCTACAGCAACATCAGAGGAGTATTTCTCGCAGCTGGAAGAAGTCTTTGACAAGTACCAGTTAAAGTCAAGCCCAGAGATGGTCTACAACAGTGACGAGAAGGGGATAAATTTAACACACTCAGTACCCCAAGTCTTTGGATCGTCTACTGAGGTTCCCATCGAGATCTGTGCTGAAAAGTCAGCTACTGTAACAGTTCTTGGGTGCAGTAACGCCATCGGACAGAAGATCCCACCCTTCTTCATTTTCCCGGGGACCCGTATGCAGGATGACTTGCTCGAAGGATCCAGCGTTGGTACATCTGGAACTGTCAGTGAGAGTGGTTGGTCCAATTCCGATATTTTCCAATGTTGGAA